CTAGACTTTTTTCTTATTCATAAGTACTTATCAAATGAATATTGTCTTGATCGAAAAGTAATCTGAGACCTGTAAAGGTCTATACAAAAAAAAAATACGTATACAATCGGAGCTCATGCCTTTTCAAACTCTATCGAATTGAAAGAACTCAAGCTGATTCCATTTAAATGTTGTCAACATTTCTGTTTTTACCAAACATTATTTGTTCCTAAAATGATCCATCGTAGATTTCTACCGTGATTTTTACAAACTACGGCTGAAAAGGAACTTCAATTGAAAACTTCATACTCTTAGAATTCCATAAAATTTGTGCTTGACTTTTTGTAAACTTTTATAATCAATATATTTTATCTTATGAAAATAATTGTACGTTTCAATATGATTCTCTATTTTTAATAAAATCTTCTTTTTCTTCACACAAACATACTTTAGCTTTAACAGAAGCTGCTGCTAATGCACTTGCTGCTGCTGCTTGAATATCTCGATCATTAATTTCAGCTGCTAATAATTTTCTTGGATCTTGTTGATCAGATTGTATTATAGGTTTTGGAATAGTTGATGTTGATGATATTATTTCATCATTATTTGTTTGTATTTCTTCATTTTCATTCATTTCAATTTGTTTTAATTGATCATCATTAATCTATAATATAATAAGAAAAATTTTAATTAAAAAAAAATACAAAAAATTTCTCTTTTTTTTTTTTACATTTTTTTCATCATTAATATCTATTTTTTCTTGTTTAATTTTTGATGATTCTTCATTACTATTATTTAATTCAATTAATTTTGAATTATCATTTATTTCTTTATTTGTATGATTTGATGTATCATCATGCATTTTAGAAAATTCTTCTAAAGCTGCTTTAGCTGCAGCACTAGCAACACGTGGATCAACAACTGATGCAAGAAAAGTAACTGTTGACATAACTGGATTACCACTTTGACTAAATGGTATTGTTGGATATGCAAATGAACCTGATGAACAACCATTTCCTTCTAAATATGGATCTTCTATTGGTAATTGAAGAAATTTTAATATACATTCATCTTGTGTACGTGTACCAACATGTTCACAAACTTTATTCCAATCATCTTTATACATTTCAAGACCTTGAAAAAAAAAAATATATAAAAAATAAATTCAAAAAAAGAAAATTTACCTTCAAGTAAAAGAAGAATTTCTTGATCTGACCAATCTTTAGTTTTTGTTTTTGTATTCTATAGAAAATGATATGTAAATCTTTTGAAATAATTAATAATAGTGTCTAACAATTGAAATTAACACAAATCATTTTTCTATCATATATAATCATTATTAAATGTTTCAGAAAATTCTCAATACTTTTTTTCTTTGCTCTTTTTAATAGAATTGAAAAGTATTATATGCTAAACATACATAGCTTCTCAATAATAATTCTTCACTTTTTAGTTGATATTTCTCGAATTTAATACAACTAAAAAACTCTCGAACAGTTCCTACTCATGACCTGTAGGTCCGATATTACAAGAGTTTTGATCTACGACATCCTATCATTTAAATTTCCTGTCAATACCTTATCATCAGTGACGTATCCAGGATTTTTCAGTATGCTGAATCTTGATTTTCGAGCACGGGACCCAGATGAAACTGATGGAGAGTGATGTTGGATCCAAATAATGGAATTTTATCAAAAAAAATTTACACTCGGAGTTTGCGAAAAACATTAGCATTTTCCTGATCCCTCCCTCGAGGATTTTTTGCTGTTAGTAGTATCATGGTTTTTGGAATTTCATAGGAAGCTACACCGAATTTCATCGATAGATTTCAAATTTCGTCTGAAAATATGCAACCGTTCAAGAGTTATAACTTTTATATGTGAAAACAATTTTTGCAAAATTTCAAATCGTGATAACTCTTGAACGGTTGCATATTTTCAGACGAAATTTGAAATCTATCGATGAAATTCGGTGTAGCTTCCTATGAAATTTTAAAAATCATGATACTACTAACAGCAAAAAATCCTCGAGGGGGAAGATCAGGAAAATGCTAATTTTTTTCGCAAACTCTTTTTTGATAAAATTCCATTATTTGGATCCAACATCACCCTCCATGAGTTTCATCCGGGTCCCGTGCCCGGAAATTGAGATTCAGCATACTGAAAAATTCTGGATACGTCACTGTATGAAATTGTCGAAATACGCTCATATTTTATGATTTTTATTCTTCATCTAGATATTTTCACCAAAACTAATAGCAAATTCGTAATCTTCATAAAAAATTGCATCTATAGACATGTCATTTGTATTTTTTTGACGGAAAAAAATTTTTTTCAAAAAACTTCCGTTGTGTGTATTTTAGGCATAAAATACGCATTCCTTAGGATTTTTCAACAAAAATTGAAATGACATGTCTAGTTTTCTAAGAGAATAATTAAAAATATCTTACCAAATTAAGTTTTTTATTATATTGATCAGTTCTTAAACCTAATGTACTTTCAATATCACGTTCTTCTTTTTTAGCTTCTTGTTTTAAATCTGCTATTTGTTTTGATGCTGAATTCTAATTAAAAATTTTAAAAATTCGAAAAAATATATTTTTTGTTTTTTTCAAAATTACTTCTCGTTGTATTCCTTTATTTATTAAACCTATTGATGTATCATTTAAAAGAGTAAAATGTGATGTTGAATGTGGTCCCATTGATGTTGGACGTAAATCAACATCAACTTGATAATTAATTAAACCCCATTGTTCAAGAAATGCATGTATACGCATAATAGCACATACATCACCAGCTAAATTTCTTCGACATGCTGTTATAGATAAATATTCATTTGGATTTAAACGATATGTATCAATCATAAAATTTCTATAAGCCATATAACTAAAAATAACAAAAAAAAAACATAAAATAATTTATATCAATTTTTTTTTTTTATTACATTTCAGGTGTTTTTGAACGATTTTTTGAATTAAAAAATTCAATTAATGAACGTTTTTCAATTGCATTTATTGAATTATAATCAAACCATGCTGAATAACTTGGAATAATAATATGATGTGTTTGTTCACATGCTTCAGGTTCATGAAATTTTTTTATTTGATATAAATCATTACCTTGAATTTGTTGATCATCAATATTATCATCACCATCATCATTTAAATCAGTTAATATAGTACCACGTGGTAATTGAGAATCAGTTATTTTTTGACCAGTTAATGCTATGAAAAATACAAATTAATAATATAAAAAAAAACAAAGAAAATAATTACGTGTTCTTGATGATGATGATTGATCATCAAATATAGATTGTGATAAAGAATTTTCTCCATCTTTTGATAAATCATTATCATCATAATCATTACGAATTTTTTTTGATCTTAAAAAAAAAAAATGATTTTTCTTTTTATTATTTTAAAATTTAATAAGTATCAAAATTTTACTTTCGTTGTTTTGATATTGTCGAACGTTTTTTTATATTATTTGTTGTTACAGATGTAGATGAATTACGATCAGGTACAAGCTAAAATAATAAAATATTATATAGATAGATTTTTATTTATTTACTTACCATGTCTTTTACTTATTCGACACTTAGTATATTACTAGTGGTGCCTCTATCGTCTTGTCGTTTTTTTCTGTTTGTAGATGTGTCTTTGTGCGAGATTGTAGGGGAAGAAGAAAAGAAAAATATTGAGGGAGAGCAACGAATGTGAATTATTTCATCCGTCCGTTCTTCTCGCAATAGAAAAAAAAGAAAACTCCGAGAGAACGACACATATTTGACGATACGTCACTCATCATTATAAGTGAACGATGCCTTTTTTTTCTTTTATGTGTCAAATGAAGAGTAGAAAGAAAAAAAAAATCAGGCAAGTGACGACTCGAACGTATTTGTATTGAAATATTAAAGTGTAAAAATGATGTTTTTTTTTTTTTTATTTCTTATCATTGATAATGTTTTTATTTTTTTCAATAATACAAAATCGTCTTTATGCATTTCATTAAATAAATTTATATCTGTAAGATTTCCTTTTTCTTTTACATTGATGTTCAATTGTTTGATTTTCATATTATGATGAATAAATAATATTATCAGCATTTTCTCTCGTTTTCAATAATTGTATTTGTAAAATTCCTATGTGAAAAATTTTATATTCGAATGATCGTTTTTAGGACGAATTATTGATGTAATTGAATTTAAAATATTTACGATTTTCAATTAAAAAAGAGAACAATTATGGGAATGTATATATAAGTGATTCAAATATTTCTGTTTGTAAAAAGATGAAATTTATTTTTTGAAATATTGATATTATATTGTTGAAATTTTAAATAAAAAAGATAACATTGATTTAATGATGCTTTTACATCAATATTATTGGCTATTTGAAAGGAAAATACTTTTTAGAATAATTGAGCCACAAAAAAGGCTTTTCCAATTATCATAGTTATGAAAAACTGTGTCTTTTGCACACTATCAGAGAGATTGAAAAACGCTTCTATCTTGTGGTTAGTAGAAAATATACTTTCTACTAACGACATCTATATTTAGTCTTGAACTAAGCAACAAATCGAGAATATTTTCATATAATGCTGTCAAAAAATCGAAAAGAAATTTAATTATCGTATGTTCATGAACAACATAAATATATTCTTGTCATTCATTCAAGAACCATTTCGGCAAAAATCTATGTTTCTTATATCCAATATCTCAAGGGAATTTAGAAGCATTTTATAGTCAATTACCCACAGATTTCTGGGACATAGTGATAGCGTGATACTCTGAGCTCAATA